GTCGCGGAGAACCTAACGGGTAACCGGGGCTCCGGCTCGACGTGCAGGAGAAGGAACGGGGTGGTTTTTAGTCAGTAAGAGTCTGACACTCCCTCCCGCCTCACCCAGGCGGGAGCAGTAATTCGATGACTTCCCCCCTTAAAAAAAAAGGAGACAAGTATCTCTCTTGAGCCTTGCTACATTGAGGCAACCTAGATGTAGGTTTCTTAGTAACAGTAAAAAGACTGGAATTAAACTGTCATACACCGCGAGGACACCGGTGACCGCAACCTATTGTTCTATAATTGTGACTATAATGACGGTACTCGACGAGAAGCCGTGCATGACAATAAATTCTTCCATACATTGTATACCTGCAACCCTACTTGCCCTTCCAGCGAAACGCCAGGGTTTAGTTAACAGAATAAATCCAATTCTCTTCATTGTTTATCTATGTTAACAATGTTTTGATTCTTGTTTTCTGTTTATGTACTTAGCTTTACTTGTACGGTATGTACAAGTGTGCGTAGTATATAGGACGTATATATGTATAGAAACAAGGAAGAAACATACAAAGTTTCATGTTATTTAGAATAGCTATAGGGCAACTTGTAATTAGACCTTTGTGTTAGATACAAGAATTTATGTCCTATTTACATATTTGTTTTCCGACGTTTGACTATCTCGTCTACTGGTAAGCGGTGATGCGGCCTACGATGGAGCACGTCTGCATATCAGCAACCTATTCACATGGGCCTTGAAGACACCCTTCAGAAAACACAGACTCTCGCAAAGAATTCTACTCCTTAGCAGTGCGCACAAGGAAGTTTGATGCGAAGCGCTTCGTGCGTGTGGTGGGTCATCTACCATGAATCGTTAACGGTTCGCCGATTGTCATGTTGAACGATTATGGAAACGACTAGGGGGGGGGTTATATTTAGTGATTTAGAAATTCAGCACCTATTTTAGTGATTTAATGGTTGCAAGTACAGTCGTACGTAGTGCAGTCAGTACGTAAAACTAGGCTATTAGGCTACACACATATATATATAAATATATTGGTTACTTTTTTTACTGGATGATGATGGCCCCGCGTTGCGTCAGCAACACGTCTCCAACGCCCGCGCGACGTGCGCGCTTACGCGCCGTTTACGTTTCCGAAAAATACATATAAATATAATATTAATTCCAGACCTTGTCTATTTCGTAATTTTACGTAGTAAAGAATCAACTCTAGTAGAACGGTGGGTATCTAAGATCTTTTTATTAATTCTGAGGTCTGACTTAATAAAATCCTTGTTGGCTTTATAAATTCAATAAGGTTGTATTTGGCTTGTCATTCCTATTGTGTTAGGTACAACGGTTTCTTTATTAACTTCATTACAAACGTAAAGTACTGGTTTTATTGTAAGTATGTTGACATCGTGCCCTTTGCCGGACAATGGTGGAGGTAGAAGTTACTTTTTTTTTAAAGGGAAAATCATCGTATTACTGCTCCCGCCTGGGTGAGGCGGGGGGGGGGG